GGGGGGGGGGGAGACAGAAGGGATCTAGGGGTAGGAGAGGTGAAAGCTCAGCTGGGGCCTGGGAGAACCTGGGCCACATCTGGCCTGAACCTGCCCAGGGCAACACTGCAACCCCACCAAGGCACAGCTTCCAACGTCCCCACGCAGCTGAGGGAAACCGAGGCAAGGCAGGTTGGCTTTGGGGCCAAACACAAATTTGAGAGCAAGACTGATGTGGGTGCCAGTCCCAGTTGTACTACTCAGTGACTTTAAACAAGTCACTGAATCTTTCTGAGTCCCCATTTTACTATCTCCACAATGGGAACAATAATTGCTTCAATAATTGGAAGATATTATAATTAACCAAAGGCCAAGGAGACCGAGCAGTGAGCCAGAGGGAGGAAGAACGAGGAGAGAAGTAGACAAGCCGTCTCTCATTTCCGAGAGAGCGTCCATTCCTCTGGCACCTCCCATGTGTAAACCGTCTGGCTAGAGGTTTGTGTGTAGTGTTTGCAAATAGTGCTGGGTAGGACTTGCATTGTTGCCATTTTTCAGACGAGAATTGAGGCGCAGTGAGGGGAGGTGACTTGCTCATGTTCCCTGGCAGAGTCTGACTCAGAGCCATATCCTCTGACTTTGGTGCCTCCACCTTGGCCTGGTGACCCCACAGGGCAGGAGGAAGAGCTGAGTGCCAGGCAGGGCAGGCCTCACCTCACACACACCCTGGCCGAGCCAGCCTCCCAGGAAAGGAAAAAGGGGGTCCACAGGGAAGGGAGAAGCAGGAAGGAAAGGAGGTGAGAATGGGCAGTGAGTGTGGAACACGACAGACAGCAGGGAGAACAGGGAGGGCCATCGTCCCTGACTGCCTGCTGAGGGCTGAGAGCTGGCACTGAACCCACAGCCACTTCACTGTCTGCCCCCACATCCTACTGCGCTGCCTTGCTTCACTGCTGTGAATGACCTCAGGCCGGGACTTAACCTCTCTGGCCATTCCTCTGCCTAGGAAGGCCAATAACCCTGGCCCCTCCCACCCTTTGAGCCTGGGGAGCCAGTCCCTGGGCTTCTGGCACAGGACCATCCAGGAGTCATTAGTTCCATGGCTTCCAGTTTCTACAGGAAGCAATTTAAGGTGCAAGAATTACATCAAAGAAACTGAAAGCAGAAGCCCAGAAATCAGTTCTAGCAATTCCAGTGTTGAGAGCCCAAAGGGCCCAGGGAGGGGGAGCGAGCTGGCTGAGGTCACACAGCCAGGCTGCTGGAGAATGAGGGCTCTGGCAGCCCTCCAGGCTATACAGCAGCCGGCAATGCTGGGAAGGTTTGCTCCTGGGGTGGGGACAGAAGGGATCTAGGGGTAGGAGAGATGAAAGCTCAGCTGGGGCCTGGGAGAACCTGGGCCACACCTGGCTGGCTAAAGGTCTGACCTAGTTCAGCCATGTCCCTGCCTCGCTCACCCCTGCCAGCCAGGCTGACCCTGGCAGACTTATGCCAGTCTCTTCTGGCACCGGGCTTTGCACAGGCTGCACCTCATGCTGACTACCCTCCTGCACCTTCCATTTGCCCCAGGGTCATTTCCCACTCCATCCACTGAGCCAACACCCCCTTGGGTCACAGAGTCACCAGCCTCTGAACTTTGCTCTCTCCCTGCAGTTCCGGGCATGAGCACAGAAGGCCACAGATAAACCCGGAGTCAGGAAAGCCAGGCCTCCTCTGCCTGGACCTGAGCGAGGGGCCGGAGCACTACCTGTCTTCTCAACCGTTTTACTGTGTGTGAGCCGTGCACTAACAGGACAGTCGGAGCTTCCCAGAGGCCCTTCATCCTGCCCTCATCCCTCTGCCCCTGCCAATGTCACCGACCCCCTGCCATTCTCCACCTTGGGCCCAAGTTCCAGTGCTGCGAGCTCCTTCCAGCTCCCAAAAGCTGTTTACTCAGGTTCCTGCCACACGTGCATATTGGGAGAGCCCCTGGTCCCCTTAAAGGCTCAGCCCAAGGACCTCCCACCTGCCCCGGACATTGCTTCTCCTCTCCACCATCCTGGAAGCCTTGTGACAAGGCTCATTACGTTGTACCCCATCTTTGGGAGACTTGTCCGTCTCCCCAGTCCAGCCTACAAGCCTCCAGGGCAGGGCCCCTGTCCAGCTCCTCTCTGTATCCCAAGTCCAACATCAGCGGGGCATATTTAGTAAATTTGTGTTGAATGAACCAACACAGGGCATACGGGAGGAATTCCTTTAAGGATGGGAAAAACAGGCTTACAGAGTGGCAGGGACTCCCGGGGGGATCAGCTTTCCCTATCAGAGAAGCACCAGCTCTCAGGTCTCCAAAGACCAGGCCTCTCCCTCCCTCCCTCCCCCTCCTGATGGCTGGGTGCTCTGGGCTGCAGCTCTGCCTTTCTCCAGCTCCTGATGGAGACTGGGCTTTAGTTCCCCAGTGTCCCTATAAGCTGAGTGATCCAGGACAGGCCACGTGGCCTCTCTGGTCTGCACCATCCTTGTCTGGAAGGAAGAGATAATACACCAGGGCCTCTGGAAGGATCAAATGAGACACCGCCACAAGGAGTAGCATTTTGTACACTTTTATGCACTGTGCCCGGGGGATGTCAGTATCAATGTCTGGGGACATCTACAAAGTTTCCAGACTTTGTAGGCCAGGAGGGTTATAAAAATTCAGGGCTTCAGACCACAACGAACTTCAGGAACACAAGGTAAAATGAAAACTGCCATTCTAGAGGTTCCAGCAAGAGCGACACAGAAGCCTGGCCCCAGGAGTCAGATGTCCTTTGGGAGAGATGTCCCTTTCCAGGCAGAGGAAACAACTCACAAAAAGTCTCACGCAGGAAAGCACAAAGCTATGCCGACCTGCCTGGCTCAGCAGGGCCCTGGGGACCGAGCGCGGGGAACT